AGTGTAGTAGTAGTAGTAGTAGTAGAGTAGGTAGTAGTATGAGTAGTGTAATATATGAGTAATATAGTAGTATAGTAGTAGTAGTAGTAGTAGTAGTATTACTACTACTACTACTACTACTAGACTACGACTACGACTCGACTATGACTAAGACGACTCCGACTACGGCCTACATACTACAGATACGACTACGACTACGACTACGACTACGACTACGAACACGACTACGCCGACTACTACTACTACTACTACTACTACTACTACTACTACTACTACTACTACTACTACTACTACTACTACTACTACTACTACTACTACTACTACTACTACTACTACTACTACTACTACTACTACTACTACTACTACTACTACTACTACTACTACTACTACTACTACTACTACTACTACTACGTACGAACTACTACTACCACTACCACTACTACGACTACGACTACGACTACGACTACTACTACTACTACTACTACTACTACTACTATGATTATTATTACTACTACTACTACTACTACTACTACTACTACTACTACTACTACTACTACTACTACTACTACTACTACTACTACTCCTACTCCTACTCCTACTCCTACTCCTATCCTTATTCCTTATTAGAATATACTCCTACTCCCCCCTCAGGCCGGCAGATAGCGGGCGCATCCGGGTGGTCCCATCCTAACCTGTAAAAAACAATACAAAATCAACATTTTTCTTATTTTTTCCTCTCGACATGGACGTCCTGTCGTCCACGGCGATAATCCATTGCAAAAAATACCACAAAGAGCACACGCGCGCGTTCATGTCAGAATCCTACCGAACACCGTGTGTTTGCAAGCATTTCAACATAAAAACATCAAAAACCCAATGCTTTTTTCACAAAAAATTGTACAAATTTCCCGCCCGGGCTCTCTTGCTGAAATCATAGGAAAACCATAGGAATCTTAAGAATTCGGTCAAATCCAGCGATTTCACGTCATCGCGCGGTGCACTCGCGATGCTCTGTCATGCACCCAGGCCGCGAATCCTGTGCAAAAAATACCACAAAGAGCACACTCGCGCGTTCATGTCAGAATCCTACCGAACACCGTGTGTTTGCAAGCATTTCAACATAAAAACATCAAAAACCCAATGCTTTTTCACAAAAATGCTTTGGGGTGTCCTGTCAGACCGTCGGGCTTCCTCCGGCCACCTCTGGCTTCCTGCGGTGTACCGGGCCATTCTCGACTCGTCTGGCAATGCGTGCGCGGCATTCAACACGCGCTCGCCAGTTCCCGTCGGCAACCGCCATCGCGGCCGCATCAGCTGTACCAAACCGGCTGGCCGGTGTGACTTCGGCCCCCAGTTGTGCCAGCTTTGCTTCCTATGTTGTGGGAGGGCGGGTGGGACTGGGCATGCCATGCTTGACTCGCTCGAGCTGGCTAGCTTGACTCCTACTCCTACTCCTACTCCTACTCTTACTGCTACACGACGAAATTTAATCATACTAATACTGATAAGCAAGCGACGTAAATTAACACTGAGAGTAGTACTATTACGAATACTTACAGTACTGATACTTCATTGAGTAATATTTAAGAGCACAATGACAGTATAACTAATAGTAACACTAACAATGACACTAGTAATACGAGGAGGATGGGGACGAAAAGGGTCAGGATTTTCGCCCCTATCTTCTGCTCGTTCCCGTCCTGCTCTCCTCTCCTCGCTGCGCGCCTGGCGCCAGTCTGCCTTGACGCGCTCATAGTCAGATCGAGAGGGGGGGGGGCGGGCGAATGAGGAGGAGAAGGATGTGGATAGCAGAGCCAGAAAACAAGGACGACACCCCCTCCCAACCCGCAGCGGCGTCTGGGCGTCGCCCCCGCCGCTGCCGGCAGGCGGCGACGGCAGCCGCGCCACCCGTCGGGCTCATGGACGAGACGCAGGCGCTGGTTCGCGCGCGCGCGGGCGGGCGCTGCGCGGGGGGGGGATGGGGGAGGCGGAGCGAGGATGAGGGCGAGGAGGACGAGCGTGGAGGGGGGGGGGGGGTAGGAGGGAGGAGGGATGGAGGAGGGAGGAGGACGAGGGAAGGAGGGAGAGGAGGAGGGAGGAGTAGGAGGAAGAGGATGGCGAGGAGGACGAGTGAGGAGGGGAGGAGGAGGGGGAGGAGGGAGGAGGAGGAGGAGGAAGAGGAGTGCGAGGAGAACGAGTGAGGAGGAGGGAGGAGGAGGAGGAGGGGTCGCGGAGGTCGGGTTGTTGGGGCCGTCTACGATTCGATTCGATGCGTTTCGATTTGCTGGATGGGGCCGCGATTTCGATTCGATATAATTGGATTCGGTTTCGATTCAGGCGGGCGCGGCGGCGAAAACGGACGACAACCTCAGACAAAACTCAAACATTAAGCCTCGAGCGACCGACCTGATCCTCTTCCGCCTCCTCCTCCTCCGCCTGCTCCCCCCGCCGCCAGGGGGACCAGCAGAATTGAGGCAGAATCCGCACTGTCGAGAGTCAGGGAAAATATACGGAGGGCGCGCTGGTTGAGGAACATGCGCAGGAGGCTTCAGACCCTGGAGGATTCCTTCCCTTGCAGTGGCGGCGATGCTGTCCACTGCCCAGCCTCAATGTTTGCTCCGCGGGCTCTCCAGACCCTGGATTCTTTGTCCATCGGTTCCGTATCCGCTGCCCCCACCGAAGCAGGACGATGCCCTTCCCCCCGCGGGCCTCTTCCAGCCAGGGCTTCACCGTTCACCTTGCATCGTTCGCTCCTGCCCCAGGGGCGGACGTCGGTTCGTCGCAGATGGGGGCGTGGGCGTTGTCGGGCGCGTTTCTTCAGATGCCCGCTTCCAGTTGCAGTCGGATCTCTTCCTTTTCTCTCTTCCCTCCTCCAGTCAACATTCTCTACCCTTCACTCTGCATTTTCGTTTCTCAACCCTTCGCTATCCACTCTATGCTCTCTAATTCATGTTTTGCACTCCGCATCATTCATATGATTCGCATTGCTTCTCGCTTCAAGCTGGGCCAGGCCGCAAAAGGCTGGCAGTTGATAATACATCCAGCAAGGAAAACAATTCCATTGCGTACGTTTTCCCTTGCGAATGCTTGAAACCATATGCGGTGGCGATGGCATATCTGGCCCCGGCACTTCCCCTTTCAAATGCTCCGCTGCCGTGCGCACGCGTTGATCTCAGAAGGGCGTGTTGCACCAATTCCTATCAATGTGGGGTACACGTCCGAGTACATGACTGTGCCGACATTCGCGCATAAGCTGCCCGCGTCAGGCTATGCGTCAGCGCCCCCGCTTTCAATGTGGCGTGCCGCGATTGCGGCCCGCGTAAGCAACCGAGTAAATTCGCTATGCCATCTCGTGTAAGACTTTTTTTACGTGGCTCACATGTGTTTCGAACATTGTCGCGGTCCGTTTAACACGCGCCCATTTGTTTTATATGACCGATTCGTATGTTCGACTTTCCAGGAACGCGCACGTGTGCAAACCATGGACGCCATGGTAGACGAATCACAGCATCATCAGGCTTGGCGTATGTATGCTTATATTCAAACAAGTATACACCTGTATACACATGCAACCCTGCATGCTAGTCTGCATGTCTGATTATTTGCATATGTGCATATATATATACATATATGTATATATACACATATATATACATATTTATATTTATATTTATATTTATATTTTTGTATTTATATGTATATATATATATATATATATATATATATATATATAAATGTATGTATCGAAGACGCCTACGGCGAATCACCGCCGCCCCCTGCCTTTTTGGAAGCGCCTGCGTGGCCGAAAGTTGGGTTTGAGCTTGGCCAAGCTATCAGGCCACGCGTTCCCCGAGTGGGTTTTCGAAAGCCTTCGGGGAACACGGAGTCGGGCGAGCTACCGGACCAGGTGGCTTCCGAGCTTTCGGGCCTCCTGGAGGACGTCTTGGAGGGGTCTTAGGCCGTCTTGGAGGCCTCTGGCGGGCCTCTTGGGCAGTCTAAGGCTATCTTCAGTCCATCTGAGGCCGTCTTGTGTGCATCTTTGGGCCATTTTCGCCGTCTTGGAGGCCTTTCTGGTTGTCTTGGAGGCATCTTGGAAGCCATCTTGGCCGTCTTGCAGACCATCTTGAGCGTCTTGGAGGCCTCTGGAGCCGTGTTGGCGCCCTCTTTGGGCCGTCTTGGGGGCCTCGTGGGCTGTCATAGGGCCATCTTGGAGGCCTCTTGGGCGCTCTGGGGGCGATCTTTCGGGCCTCTTGGGCCGTCGTGGGCTGTCGGAAGGCTGGAAAATAGCAAAAGCCAGAATCCTTCAAAAACCTATGACAAATTATTGATTTTGGCCTCTTCGGGCTCTCGTGGAGGACCTCTTGGAGGCCTCTTGGGGCGTCTTGGAGGTCTCTTGGAGGCCTCTGGGGCCGTCTTGGGCCGTTTTAGAGGTTTCTTGTGGGAACTTGGACGGACGCATCTTGGACTCTCTTGGGCCGTCTTGGAGGGCATTTTAGACCATCTTGGGCGAACTTGGAGGCCATCTTTGGCCATCTTGGCCATCTTGGAGCCATCTGGAGCAGGAAAAACCTTTGCAACCGGATTTTGGGCAGTCTTTGGGGCCTTTTCGGGACCCCGGCGGGACGGGCCGAAGCCCCAGGAAGTTTCTAAAAGAACCAACATCGAAATGATTCAGCACGCCGAGCACACCTGTGGCAAGCCAACAGGGGGCGGCGGATATCGAATGGCCTTCGGCCCATCCCGCCACGGTGCCTGGCTTTGGGTATGAGGCCTATTGTATGTTCGTTGGGATATCAGCCTCTCTGGGGCCTCTTGGAGGCGGTTCGAAGGCCCCTTGTGATTCGTTTGGGGGCCTCTTGGGGCATCTTTGGGCCTCTTGAGGGCCTCGTGGAGTTTCTTGGAGGCCTGTTGGGGGGCTCTGGGGGGCCTCCAGGACTCCTGGGCGCCTCTTGGGCCCCCTGGGGGGCGGAAGGCTCGGATTGTCAGTTCGTGCTCCCTCTCTTGGGCCCCTTTTGGGGCCGTTTGGGGGCCCTCTTGGGCCGTCTTGGACGCTTCGTGGGTCGTCTTGGGGCCCTCTTGGAATCTCCTTGGGCTGTTTTGGGGTGTTCTTGGGGGCCTCTTGGGCCGTCTTGGAGCGTCGAAAAACAGAAAAGGAGAGAACGCCCGACTCTTTCGAACGCCTAAGGCAAAGCAATGATTTTTACTCTTGAGGCGCTCTTGGGAGGCCTCTTTGGGGCCTCTTGGGGCGTCTTTGAGGCCTCGTGGGCCATCTTGAGGCCATCTTGGGCGTCTTGGGCCGACCCATGGGCGTCTCGGGGCCCTCTTGGGCCGTCTTGCAGGCCGCTTGGGGCCCTCGTGGCCCGTCTTGGGGCCCTCTTGGGCTCAAACAGATTCAAACGCCACCGCTTGGCAAAGCCCAGGGGGGCCACGCGGGAAGCCCCAGGGGGGCACGAGGGAGGCCCCGGGGGGCACGCACCAAGCCCCGAGAGATCTGAGGGCGAGGGGCCCAGGCTCCTCGACCGATTTTTCAGGCGTGAGGATCGAGGCTTAGTGGATTGGGCCCAGGACATGAGGACACGCCCACTCTGTACTCAGCGGCACGGTGGAGGATACATGTACAGACATACTTATATATACATACATATAAACATTTATAACCATGTAGTGTGTACGCATCTACTAATGCATATAGTTATGCAACTGTATGCGTATACGTCTACACCAGTGCCTTTATATATGTGTATGCTGTATAGACACACAGGCATACACATCGAATGCGCACATGCACATACACATATGTACAGCCACACGTGGCCACACACGCATACATATATATATATATACATATATTTATATATGTATATATATATATATATATATATATATATATATTATGTGTGTATATATATATATTATGTATGTATACTCACATGCGCACATCTATAATCACATACAGACATCTTGGTTGTGCAACAGAAGTATACTCGAATTTCGGATGCCGTGTCGCGCGAGACAGTCGTGCTTTCCCTAATCGGCGACACTTACGCCGAATCACCGCCATCCCCTGCCTTCTGTAATCGCCCATCAGGCCAAACGTTGTGGCCAGAGCTCTGCCAAGCTATCCGATCGTGTGTTCCCTCAGCCGTTGTGGAAACCCTTCGGGGAACACGCGGGGGAGAAAGAGGAAAACGGAGGAGAGGGAGGACAATTGGAGAGGAGGAGGATGATGATGATGAGGATGAGGATGGCCTTCTGGGAGCTTCTTGTGGGCCTCTCGGAGGCCTCTTGGAAGCCTCCTTGGGCCCCTTGGGGGCCTTTTGGGGCTCCTTGGGGGCTTCTTTGGCAGTCTTAGGGCGTTCCTGGCCCGTCGGACGCCGTCGGGAGCCGTCTTGGGAGGCTTCTCTGAACGGACTTATGGCCCTCTTGGGGCGCTTCAGGGCCGTCTTCGAGGCCTCTTGGGCCGTCTTCGAGGCCTCTTGGGCCGTCTTGAGGCCCTCTTATGGCCGTCTTGGAGGCTTCTTGGGTCGTCATGGGGTCATCTTGGAAGCCTTTGGGGCCATCTCGGGGCCCTCTTGGGCCGTCTTCGGCCGTTGGAAGGCCGAAAAGAAGCAACTGCCCAAGCCCTTCAGACACCTGCAGAAAATCAAGGATTTTGGCCTCTTCGGGCCCTCCTGGAGGACACCTTGGTGGCCTCTTGGGCCTCCTAGGGGCCTCACCTTAGCCCGTCTTGGAGGCTTCTTGGGCGGGTTGGAGGTACCTTGGACCCTAGATTCCACCTGGATGCCATCTTGGACCTTGTTGTGCGAACTTGAGGCCATCTTGCCCTCTTGGAGGCCATCTTGAGCCGTCTGGGGGGATTTGTTTCGGACGTTGAGGTTGTTCGCGGTCCCGTCCGGGTGGCTGGCGCGCTGGGCCGACGCCCCAGGGGGAGTTTTTGTTTGATAAAGAACCACAGCGAAGTCGCACAGGATTCAGTACTCCAGGCATTCTTGTGACAAGCCGACAGGTGGCGGCGGATATCGAATGGCCGTCTGCCCATCCCGGCACCGTGCCCGGGTTGTGGGTCAGAGTTCTCAGGGATGCTTCTTCGGGTCTCCTCGGAGCGCTCTCGGGGGGGCAGTCTGTGGGCCTATTGGAGCCTCTCGGGGGCCTCTTGGGGCCTCTTGGGGGCCTCTTGGGGGCATCTTGGGCCCGCTTGGGGGCCTCGTGGAAGCAGTGTCATTGTCATGAGGGCCTCTTGGGAGGCTCCTTTGGGCTTCTGGGGGGCCTCTCGGAGCTTCCTCGGGGCCTCGAGAGGGCGCCTGCTAGCAGTCTTGGGAGTCCTCTTGAGGCGGGGAGCGCGACATTTTAGGTAGTGTTCTTCCTCTGGGGCTCCTCTTGGAGCCCTTTTGGGCCATCTTGGGCGCCTGCAGGTTCGTTTTGATGCCCTTCTTCGTGGCCTCTTGGGCCGTATTGGGGGGATCGTGGAGGGTTCTGGGGCCGCCTTGGACGCGGTGACGACCAAGAGGGCGACAATGCCCAACATGCACGTCTTCCGCGGGGATTGGGACGATTTGTAATTCTTGGGGCTTTCCTGGAGGCTCCTTTTGGAGCTCCATTGAGGCGTGTAGGGGACCTTGGCAGGCGTTATGAGGCTATCTTGGGCATCGTGGACAGCTCTTCGGCCGTCTCGGAGGCTTCTTGGGCCCGCCTGGGGCCATTTTGGGGCCCCTGCGTCTGTTCTGGGGCCCTGTTGGGCGGGGCCACCGTCCCAGAGGCCCGTGCGACACACCCCAGTGGTGCCCAAGAGCGCCCAAGAGGGCCTGGCGGCGCCTGGGAAGCTGGGGGCCTGGGCCCTCAAAAGGAGCCCTTGAACCCTGGGCCCTCCCAGGGCTGCAGGAGCCTTTGGGGCACTCCGCTAGGTTCTGAAGGCACGGTGGCGGATCCACAGACCAGGGCGAGTTGCATGAACTTGCACAGGATACCGCGCGACCCACGCGCGCGCACACCCATCCCCGTCAACGCCAATATCGGTATACGTGCATGAGTGCATCAGAGTGCACGGCCTTGCGTATGGACTGGGGGCGGATTGTCCACGAGGTAACCGCGGGACAGTCACGGAACAGCCACGGGATAACCAGGGGTCGCTGATCTCTAATTTTTTGTCGGTTTCATTATCAAGATCCCAATCTATTGGTCGGTATCACGATTCGCCAGTCTCACATTTTATCGATGGGTATCATATTCAAGCATCTACGTACCAGCCTCACCATCTATCGGTTTCACTGTTTGCCTACCGATTGTACTATCAATCTATGTGTCGTTCTCAGTCTTTGTCTATCGGTCTCACTGTCTGCCCACCTACGACGGGACAGCCGTAGGACAACCACGGGAGCACCAACGGGAGCCACGGGACAACCATGCGACCGCGGCTCATTGCGGCGTGCCTCGGGTCTGGTTGGGCGAGGAACTCGCGCTGCCTCGCCTCGCCCGCACGTGCGTCACTGCGGCGCCACCTCCAACCTGCTATACATTCTTATATTTAGACATATGTATATATAAAGAATTTACGTGCATAATGTATGCATATATGTACATAGGTACATGTATATTCACAAGTGTATACAAACATGCGTGACTACGCATCTAAAACGTATGCACATGCATATACCAATCATATGTACACACATGTGTTATATATATATATATATACATATATATGGTCGCCCCCCTGTCATCATACAATTCGTCGTCGTCGTCGTCGTCGCCGTCCTCTTCCTCCTCCTCCTCCTCCTCTTCCTCCTCCTCCTCCTTCTCCTCATCTCGGGGGAGGGGAGTAGGGGGGAGGAACAAGCGGAGGAGACGGAGGAGGGTGTCCTCGGGGGCCGAACTGGAGACCGAAAAACAGAAAAAAAAGACAAATATGAAAAACTGTGTTTCCACATGGAAAAATAAGAAAACAAACTCCCCCCTTCGAGGGCGGGGAGGAGGACACAACGGAGAAAAAAAAAGGAGGAAGCGGAGGAGTAAGCGGAGGAGACGGAGGAGGGTGTTTTTTCACCTTTTCCCCTTTCCCCGCCCTCGGAGGAGGATTTTTTTTTCAGTTTTTTCATGTGAAACCAAAGTTTTTTTTCATATTTTTATGTTTTTCCTGTTGTTCGCTCCCCCCCCTGGGGCGGCGGGGAAACCTTGAGGTGCCGAACGGGAGACAGAAAAAGAGGAAACAAAGGAAACATAGGAACAACTTGTGTTTTCACATGGAAACATCGGAAAAACAACTCCCCCTTCGAAGGCGGGGAGGAGGAACAAACTGAAAAAAGGAGAAGCAAGGAGGAAGCGGAGGAGTAAGCGGAGGAGACGGAGGAGGGTGTTTTTTTTTTTTTTTTTTTGTTTTTTCCTTTTTTCCTCTCTCCCCGCCCTCGGAGGCGGAGTTTTTTTCACCTTTTTTTCCCTGTGCAAACACATTTTTTTGTTTTTCCTTTTTTATGTTTATTTTTTTCATGTTTTTCGGGCCCTGGGGCGGCGGGGAAACCCAGAGGGGCCGAAAGGGAGAGCGAACAACATGAACAAACGGACACATATGAACAAACTTGTGTTTTCACATGGACAAAAAGGAAAAAAACTCCGCCTCCGAGGGCGGGGAGGAGGAAAACACGGAAAACAAAACACCCTCCTCCGTCTCTTCCGCCTAGTCGACTCCTTGACTCAACGTTCCCGCCCGTTTTCTGCCGAATTCCGTTCCTCTTTCTCTCGTTATCTCTCCTCTCTTCACCTCCCCCTCTCTCTCTCTCTTGACTCTCTCTCTCTCTCTCTATATATATATATATCCTCCTCCCTCTCTTGACTCTCTCTCTCTCTCTCCTCCTCTCCTCTCCCTACCTCTCTTTCTCCTCCTCCCTCTGTCTCTCTCCTCCCTCTCTTGAGACTCTCTCTCTCTCTCTCCCTCCTCCTCCTCCTCCTCCTCCTCCTCCTCCTCCTCCTCCTCCTCCTCTCCTCTCCTTCCATTATATGTACCCCGCCCCGCCACAAAAGGAATCGACATGTAAATCCGCTTCCCCCGTGTCCACCTCCGCCTCCTACTCTTCCTCCTCCTCCTCATCATCTTTCTCCTCCTACTCCACAAGGAATCCATGTGGAGGCCCCTCCACATAAGGGATCGATATGTGAAGGGCCTCCCACATAAGGAATCAATGTGTACAGGCTCCTTCACATAAGGAACTCATCTATGAAGGCCCCTCCCACATAAGGATTCAACATGTTGGAGGCCCCTCCACACAAGATATCAATATGGAGACCCCATGCACATAAGGAATTAATATGCGGCGGTCCCTCCACAGACAAACTCAATATGTGGAGGCCCCTCCACATAACGAGTCTATATTCGAAGGCCCATCCACATAAGAAATCCATGTGGAGACCCCTTTGACCTAAGAAATGAATATGTGGAAGTCCTTCACAGACGAAATCAACATGTGGAGGTCCCTTCCACATTAGGAGTCAATATGTGGAGGAATCCCCCCCCCCACAAGAGGAATCAATATGCGCGAGGCCCCTTGCACATAAGGAAAAAATATGGGGGAGGCCCCTCCACAAAAGGAAACAATATCATCTTTCTCCTCCTCATCTTTCTCCTCCTACTTCTTCTGCTCCTTCTTATCCTCAACCCCTGCGCCAGAGCGGGAGGAGGAGGGGGAGGAGCACGAGGAGGAGGAGGAAAAGGAAATCGCCCGCCGCAAAAGAACTCAATTGGTGGAGGTCCCTCCACAGACGGAATCAACATGTGGAGGCCCCTCAACTTGAGGAATCGATAATTTGAAGGCCCATCCACATAAGGAATCAATATGTGCAGACCCTTTCCAACATAAGGAATCAACAAGTGGGAGGACCCTCCACAAAAGAAAACAATATGGAGACCCCTTGCACATAGGGAATCAACATGTGGAGGTCCCTCCACAGACGGAATCAACATGTGGAGGTCCCTTCCACATAAGGAATCAATATGTGGAGGATCCCCCACAAAAGGAAACAATATCATCTTTCTCCTCCTCATCTTTCTCCTCCTACTTCTTCTGATCCTTCTTCTCCTCAACCCCTGCGCCGGAGTGAGAGAAGGAGGGGGAGGAGGAGCAGAAGGAGGAGGAGGAAAAGGAGATCGCCCGCCACATAACGAATCAATATGTGGAGGTCCCTCCACAGACGGAATCAATTTGTGGAGGCCCCTCCACATAAGGAGTCGACATGAAAAGGCCAATCCACATAAGGAATCCATATGTGAAGGGCCCTTCCACATAAGGAATGAACAAGTTGGAGGCCCCTCCACATAAGAAATCAATATGGAGATCCTTGCTCATAAGGAATCAACATGTGGAGGTCCCTCCACAGACGGAATCAACATGTGGAGATCCCTTCCACATAAGGAAACAGTATGTGGAGGATCCCCCACAAGAGGAATCAGGCCCTTTCCACATAAGGATTCAACGAGTGGGAGGCCCCTCCACACAAGATATCATTATGGAAGCCTCTTGCACATATAGAATCATTATGTGGAGGCCCCTCCACAAATGGAATCAATATGTGGAGGCCCCTACACATAAGGAGTCGATGTTTGAAGGCCCTTGGAAAGACGAACATATGCAGAGAAGTCGGATCAGCGATAAACGAGTAGAAGGAACGACAATGATAATGAAGAGTAGGAGGGACAATAAAGGGTAGAAGGAACGAGGGCGGTAAGGAAGCTTGCGAAGGGGAAGAAGATGACGAGGCCCTGCAACGGAGAAGGGTGGGAGGAAGGAGGAGGGACGAGGGGTGAGGGAGGAGGGAGGATCGGGAGGATAACGAACATAATCAAAAGGAGAAGGAACGAATCATATAAAGAAATGCAGCGGGAAGGAACGACACCGATGCGGACGGAGAGTGGGCAGCATACGAGGGGGAGGGCTGACAAAGAAAGAAGTGGGAAGTAGCGAAGACAAGGCGAATGGAGAAGATGGGAAAGGAGAGGAGGAGGAGGAGGAGGAGGAGGAGGAGGAGGAGGAAGAGGAGGAAAGGGAGGAGGCACAGGGGAGGAGGAGGAGGAGGAGGAGGAGGAGGAGAGAGGGGCAGGAGGAGAGGGAGGGGAAGGAGGAGGAGGAGGAGGAGGAGGAGGAGGAGGAGAGGAGGAGGGAGAAGGAGGAGGAGGGAGGAGGAGGAGAGGGAAGATGAGGGAAGGAGGAGGAGGGGAGATGAGGAGAAGGAGGAGGAGGAGGAGAGGGAGGAGGGGAGGACGACGACGACGAGGACGACGACGACGACGAAGCCGATGAGAAAAAAACGAAATGTATGATCACCGGGGGGGGGGCGAGCATGCATATATATATATATATATATATATAGATATGACAGAGCAAGTTCTGTGGGCGCTTGGAGGGGGGGTGGTACTCACCACCCACCAAATCACCCCAACCCAACCCGAAGGTCCCAATTTGCCCTCCATTTCCAGTGTGGGGGGTTCGGGGGACATTGAAAAAACACATGGAACCCGTACCCCCTCAACACGATATTCGGGTTTTCGGGTCGGGTTGGGGTGGTCTGGTAGGTAGTCAGGAGCTGGACCCCCCCCCTGGATTGAAGTGGGGGGCCCCCCCCCTTCCCGTGGCGGGTGGGGGGGGGGTTCGAACCCCCCCCCACCCCTCCCCTCCCTCCTCCCCTACTCCTCCTCTCTCCCTCTTCTCGGGCCGGCGCCAGCGTCGGTGGCGGCTGGCGGCGGCGGGGAGCGTCGATGAAGACGACGACTTCCTTTTCTGGGCCGGCGAAGGCGCCTGGGTCGGCCGGCGGCGGCGGCGGCGGGGAGCGTCGACGACGACGACGACGATGACCATGACGACGACGCTTCGTCACCATGCCTTGGTTTTGGGTCAGAGTCCTAATGGATGCCTCTTGGGGTCTCGTCGGTTGGCTCTCAGGAGCCACTGGAGGGCATTTGTGAAGCCTCCTGGGCGCCTCTTGGGTGTCTCTTGTGGCCTTTCTGAGGTGGTGATGGTCGTGGGCTGTGGTGGTTGTGGCGGTCATGGTGGTGGTCGTGGTGGTGGTTGTTGTGGTGGTGGTGGTGTGGTGGTGGTTGGTGGTGGTTGTTGTTGTGGTGGTTGTGGTGGCAGGTTGTGGTGGTTGTGGTGGTGGCGGTGGTGGTGGTTGTGGCGGTGGTGGTGGTGGGGTGGTTTCTGGTGGTGGTGGTGGTAGTTGTGTTAGTGGTGGCGGTGGTTGTGTGGTGGTTCGTGGTGGTGGTGGTGGTTTGTGGTGGTGGTGGTGGTGTTGGTGGCGGTGGTGGTGGTGGTTTTGATGCGGAGGTTTGTGGTGGTGATGGTGGCGATGTTGGTCGTGGTGGTGTCGTGGGTTTGTGGTGGTGGTGGTGGTGGTGGTAGGCTGGTGGTGGTGAGGTGGTGGTAGTCGCGGTGGTGGTGGTGGTGGCGGTGGTGTGGTGGTTTGTGGTAGTGCGTGGTAGTGATGGTGGTGTGGTGGTTTGTGGTGGTGGGTGGTGGTGGTTGTGTGGTGGTTGTGTGGTGGTTGTGGTGGTGATGTTGTGTGGTGGTTTGTGGTGGTCGTGGTTGTGGTGGTGGTGGTTGGTTGTGGTGGTAGTAGTGGTGGTGGCGGTTGTGGCGGTGGTGGTGGTGGTGTGGTCGTGGTGGTGGATCGTGGTGGTGGTAGTGGTGGTTGGTTGTTGCGGTGGTGGTGGTGGGTTGACTGTGGTGTTGGTGGTGGATGTGCTGGTGGTGGTGGTGGTGGTGGTGCTGGTGGTGGTGGTGGTGGGTGGTGGGTAGTGGTGGTGGTGGTTGTGTGGTGGTGGTGGTGGTGGTGGTGGGTTGTGGTTGGGGTGGTGGTGGTGGGTTATGGTGGTGGTTGTGGCGGTGGTGGTGGTGGTGGTGGTGGTGTGGTGGTGGTGGGTGGTGGTTTGTGGTGGTGGTGGTGATGGTGGTGGCGTTTGTGATGGTGGTGGCGGTACAATTAGTGGTCTGTGCTAATGGTGGTGGTTGTGGTGGTGGTGGGCTGCGGTGGTTGTGGTGGTGGAGGTGGTAGTGGAGGTAGTGGTGGCGGTGCTGGCGGTGGTGGTGGTGGTGGTGGTTTGTGGTGGTGGTGGTGTGGCCTTCGGGTCTTCCCGCCACCGTGTTTCGGCTTTAGGTCAGGGTTATAATGGGTGGCTATTTCTTGAGGTCTCGTCAGAGGGGTCTCGGGGGCTTCTGAGGAGCATGTGTGAAGCCTCCTGGACCTTCCTAAGGGCCTCCCGGTGGCTTTTGGGGGGGCGAGGGCTCGACATGGCGATTTGTGTTCCCTTTTGCGGCCTCTGGATCCTCTCTGGTCATCGTCGCTGCGTCCTCGCCGTCGGACTGCTGGCCAGCGCCAGCGCCGGCGCCGGCGCCGGCGCCGGCGCCAGCGCCGGAGGAGGGTGGGGTTTGGAATTCCCCCCCCTGGGCCCTCCCTGGTCATCGTGGCTGCGTCCCCGCCGGCGCCGGCGCCGGGGGGAGGGGGTTTGGGGAGGGGGCTTTGGGGAATGGGGGGTGTAGGGAGGAGGGGAGTCCCCCTGGTTTGATTGACAGCGCCGGATGAATGTTGGGGGGGGGCACCCCCCGGGTTCGAAACGCGCCGCCGAATGTTTCTAAGGCAAGCGCCCGTGAAACGCGCGCGCGCGCTCTCTCTCTCATATAATATCTATGTGTGCGAATGCTTTAAAAGAGAGAGAGAGAGAGAGAGAGAGAGAGAGAAAGAGAAAGAGAGAGAGAGAGAGAGAGAAAGAGAGAGAGAGATAACCGTCGAGAGAGAGAGAGAGGCAGAGAGAGAGAGAGAGAAAGAGACAGAGAAAGAGAAATATGAAGAGAAAGAGAGAGAGAGAGAGAGAGAGAGAAAGGCAGAGAGAGAGAGAGAGAGAGACACAGAGAGAGAGCGAGAGATAAAGAGAGAGAGAGAGAGACAGAGATACAGAGAGACAGAGAGAAAGAGGGGGAGAGCGACATAGTGAGATCGGACCGATTGGCACAGCAGAGTCCGGGCGCCCCGCGGCAAGCGGCGGGCGCACCCCGCACCCCGGCCGGTGCGAGTCGGCTAAAGGGCCCTGCGCACCCGTCTTGGGCGGTCGGCAAAGGGAGGAGGGGGAGGGAGGGGGCGAGGGGGCCCCCCCCAGCAGTGAGTAAGTGGTGTACTGTGACGCTGCCTCGCAGAAGTCCGAGTCTCACTTGTAAGGGAAAGCGAAGTTTGCTGCCAGGCGGCGCACTGGCCTCGATGAGTATCAGGAGCGAAAGAAGGACGTACATGTACATGAATCCACGCTGGTTCCGAGAGCACGCATTGCACAATTTTCGTATAACGCGGCCGGTCTCGCGAATCGAGGGGCCGTGTTCATGTACATAGCTGGGCGCGTACGTCCTTTGTGGGCTCCCTAGAGTAGGTTAGCTGGCGCTTCTAGCGAGAAGCGCTTGGGCCGCGTGGAGGGCGTCCGCGACGGAGGCGGAGACGCTCGCCGTCGAGGGGGCAAGCGAAGCCTGGCGCTGCGCGGCCGCGTGACGTTCGCGCGGCGTGGTGAGGTGCTGTCGCGTCGTGTGGCGAACGCGGTCTGACAGGGACTGGCTGTGCCCGAGCTTTCATTCGAGCCGCGTCGAGCGGTCTGCCGCAGGCTGAGCTTGGCCCTGCGTGGCTTGCACCTGTGAGGGGGGCCCAGCGCGGCCGTCTGAGCGGCGAGCCAGGCCCGGCGCACCACGGGTGAGATTTCCCAGCGCCCGGCCAGAGCCCGAGTGGGAGGAGGAACCTGGATGATGCGGAACAGAACTGGAGCGACCTGGGTCCTCGTGGCGAGGGAGGACCAGAGGGCGAGACAGGCAAGGGCCCACCACGGAGGGCGGGCGGGGGGTGTCGCGCTGGTGGTGGGCGGCGAGTCGTCGTCGAGCTGGCGCGAGAGCACGCCGATGCCTCCGTAGCCGGCCAACTGGTGGAAGAAATGGTGGGGGGCACTGGCAGGCTGCCAGGCGTTGCCGTCGAGGCTGCACAGGTAGTACCCGTGTGCGAGATTGACGTACGGTGGTGGCGGTAAGGGCCCGTAGAGCATGACTGCTTCGCGCCCGATTGTTTGTCGGGGGTCGAGAGATGCTTCGTCTGGGTGCCAGCTCGAGGGTGCCGCGTGGCCAGCGGAGGCAACGGGCTGTGCTGACGAGGCCGCGGCACCGGCGGTGGCTAGCGCCGTCGGCGGAGGCCCGCCGGGTGGCCTGTCCGGTGCCACTGGTGGGTCGGGGCCCGTGGGGGGCCTCTGCGGCGGTTCCGAGCCGGGCGTGGGTGACACGGAGGAGCCCGTCGCCGCACCGGCCGTGGTGCCGTGGGCGGTGAGAGGGGCGCCCTCGGCGGCTGGGCCCGCGGCCTCGGCGGGCGGGCGAACGTGTGCCGCCTGAGGCGGCTCCGAGTCCGTGTCAGGGATCGATCGCTGGGGACCTGTGCGGTTTGGCTGGCCATCGCACCGCGGTGTATCAAGCAGTGGCGAAGCGTCCTGGCGTGCCCATAGGCCTACCAAACAATGTTCAAAGAACCTTTTGCGGTTTCCACGAAATGTTCTTAGAACATGTCTGGTTGAGACTGTTTAGTTTTAGCGCATCGGGTTAATGTTCTAAGAACATTGTCTTGTTCTTGGAACATTTTTGGATTCTAAGGACATTGCGTGGTAGGATTATAGGAATGCCGGGACCGTCGGTCCCTGCTCAAGTGCAGCGTCAGGCCCTGGGCATGCGCTGGCCGGTGGGCAGCCTGAGCGGGGCCCACTCCGACTCCCGAAGCTGAGCCTGGGAGGCGGCGTGGCCGAGGGGGTGACGTGGCGACAGGCGGCTGTTGGCCGCTGTGGGCTGGGCCTGGGCAGTGTGGCCCTGGGGGTCGTCGGGGGCGGGTCGTCGCCTATCGTCAATATGTTGCTGACGTTGACCATGGGGACATCACACTTGTCTCCCCCCGCCGCAGCTGAGCCGGGCATGCGACGTCGTCGGGGGGGCGACGGGGAGCCGAGCTGAGCTGGTCCCTCGGGGTCAACGCTTGGAAGGGCGTCGATGGGGAGGCCAGGAGGGTGGCCGGGCGGATCGTCAGGCCCTCGGACGTCGGAGTCGTTGGAACCATCGTCGCTGGCGAAGGGTCGGCTTGCCTGAGCCAGTGGTGCCCGTCGAAGGAGAGCATGGCCGTGCAGTCACGTCGCTGCCGCGGGGCCGGCCCGTGTGCGGACGCCGCTTCAGGGTGCGGGGCATCGCCGTCGGGTGGGTAGGGTGGCGCAGCGGGCGGCAGGTGGGCCGCAGTGGACCGGGGCCGGCCTTGGTACCCTGGTGGAGGGTCAAGGCAGTCCAAGTGCGCGTCCATAGCCATCGCGGCGTGCGTCGCTCATCTGTTGGATTGTGTGGTTCAGCGCATGGCCCGTGAGCGCGGCAATTTGGTCATGGCGGTCGCGGCGTCCTCGGCTGCCTCTGTCTCAGGCTTCTTCGCAAATTTCGTGCACGGGGCGACGCTTGAGGTCAGACGCGTGCCGTTGCGGCAGGTCGAGATAGTTAGAGACCCGCGAAGGCTGGCGTTTGGAGCGCACGGAGGACCTCTTCCACACAAGAAAGGGGCCACCTCTGCTTGCCTCCGTCAGGGTTCCAGAGGTCCGGGAGCCGCCCAGGGGAGTGGTGCGGGCGAGGTCGTCGACCCACCGCGCTCGGGCTTCCTGCGCGCGTTGGATCAGCGGATCAGTGGCCGCTCGTGGCGCGCGGTGGTCGGGTGAGTCGTACTCGCTGGCGTGGCTGCTGTCTCGGCGAGTTTCCTTTGGGTCTGGGGGCGGGAGTGGTTCATCCATTGCGACCTCGGGGGCCCTTCGCGTGATCGGCGTTGGGGTGATGTCGCGGGGGGGCCGCGCCTGAGGCGGGCCCCGCGACGCATGGGGTGACGCCTGAGGCGACCCGTCGCGCGTGGGGTGGCGCCTGAGGCGACCCGTGGCGCTTGAACCTCACCATCAATATGTCTCATTATTTGCGGTCGTACTATCAATCCATGTCGATCTCACTCTTTATCTATCGGTCTCACTGTCTGCCCACCTACGACGGGGCAGCCGCAGGATAACCACGGGAACACCCACGGGGCAGCCACGGGACAACCATGGGACCGCGGCTCACTGCGGCGTGCCCCGGGCCTGGTTGGGGGAGGAAGTAGCGCTGCCTCGCCTCGCTCGCACGCGCGTCACTTCGGCTCCACCCCAAACTTGCTCTATATATAATAATAATACTACTAATGATAATAATAATATACTAATAATAATACTAATATTAATAGTTGTATACACATTTACACCAGCGTATACATGCATGCATGCATGACCATGTATCTGCACGTATACACATGCGTACACATCAAAGAAGTGTACACATGTATATGTATATGTGTGTATGCATCTATTCAGAGAGAGAGAGAGAGTGATAGAGAGAGAGAGAACAAAAGAGAGAGAGAGTCATAAACAACACACATATGTATATATATATAAGAGAGAGAGAGAGAGAGAGAGAGAGAGAGAAACAGCGAAAGAGAGGGAAAGAGGGAGAAAGTGAAAGATAACGAGAACAAGCAATAAAGAGAGAGAAAGAGAGAGACAGAGAGATAGAGAGGCAGAGAGAGAGAGAGAGAGACAGAGAGACAGAGAGACAGAGAGGGGGAGAGAGACACAGTGAGAGATAGGGAGAGGGAGAGGGAGGTGGAAGTCCCCCGAGGTCGCCAGAGGTCCCCTGAGGTCTCCGGAGCCCTGGCATCGCTCGGACGTGTGCTTCTGTCTTCTCGGCGAGGACCACCCGAGGAGCATGTTGGGCCACTTTGCGACACGTGCACGCGCGAGGCCGACGAGTGCACGGGGGCCCGTACGTCCGAGCGAGGCCTCTCTGGAGCGGGGGCCTTCTGGTGGCCGCCGCCGGTGCCGCGGGCGAAGGCGGCCCCGGGGCACCCGGGCCCCCGCGGCGCGGCAGGCGCGGCACTTCCAGGCCGTGCTCCGGGGCCACGGTCTCTGAGAGCCGCGGCACGGCGCCTCGCGCGGCGCCGCGCGCGCCGGGCTGGGGCGGCGCCTGGTGAAAGGAGAGCGGGCGGAGCGCGTTGCGGGGGTGGGGGATCGTGCTGATCGTGGTTGTGGTGGTGGTGGTGGTGGTGATGGTGATGAGGATGAGGATGAGGATGAGGATGATGATGAGGATGAGGATGATGATGATGATGATGATGATGATGATGATGATGATGATGATGATGATGATGATGATGGTGATGATGATGATGATGAGGATGATGATGATGATGATCACCACCCACCAAACCACCCCAACCCAACCCGAAGGCTCAGATTTACCCTCGATTTCTAGTTGGGGGGGGTCCGGGAACATCGAAAAAACACATATGGAGCCCATACCCCCCCCAACCCGAATTTCGGGTCTTCGGGTTGGGTTGGGGTGGTCTGGTAGGTAGTCAGATGATGATGGTGATGCTCATGCTGATGCTGATGCTGATGATGCTGGTGATGATGATGATGATGAGGATGATGATGATTATTAGGATGATGATGCTGCTGATGATGATGATGATTTTGAGGGTGATGATGAGGATGAGGATGAGGATGAGGGTGAGGATGATGATGACGATGATGATGATGATGATGATGATGATGATGATGATGGTGATGATGATGATGATGATGGTAATGATCACCATGATGGCGACGAGTCCGATGAAGACGATGAAGACGACGACCACGAGGAGGAGGATCTTGAGGATAATGCTACTGTTGATGATGATGATGATGATGATGATGATGATGATGATGATGATGATGATGATGATGATCATGATGACGATGATGGTGATGATGCTGCTGCTGCTGATGATGATGATGCTGATGATGATGATGATGATGATGATGATGATGATGATGATGATGATGATTCATTGGCTGACGCCGCACCGCCGACCCCTTGGGGCGGCAGTACGAATGACAAACGGAGTTTGCGGAACGATTTATCTTGGGGTTTCACGTTCTTGGGATTTCGTCGGGGGCGGTTGGCGGATCGCCGCTCTGCACTTGGGCTTCTCTGGGCTCTCCTGGCTGCATTTTTGAAGCCTCGTGGGAGCCGTTTTGGGGCCTCTATGAGGCTCTTTTGGGCCTTTCGGGGGCCTCGTGGGAGCCTCTTGGGGGCCTGTGGGCGCCTCCATTTTTTTCGGGGCCGAGTGCTCCAAATGTTCATTCGGGTTCCCCCTCTGGGCCTCTTCTTGGGGCCGTCCTGGGGCCCTCCTGGGTAGTTTTGGAAGCTTCTGGGGCCCTGGGGCCGTCCTGGGGCCCTCTTGGGCCGTCTTGGAGCCCTCTCGGGGGCCTCTTGGGATATCTTGGGCTTCTTGGGCCGTTGTGGGCCTCGCGAAAGCCCAAGAGGCGAATGTGCTAAACATATGCGTTTTCCCTGGGGAAGCTTCTGGAGGGCCTCTTGGGACGCCTCTTGGTGGCTTTTGGGGCGTCTTGGGGGCCTCTGGGACCATCTGGAGGCGATCTTGGGCGTCTTGGAGCGATCTTTCGGCGACTCGTAGCCCTCTTGGGCCGTCCGGGGGGCCTTTTGGGGCCCTCTTGGCCTGTTTTGGGCCCCCCTGAGGCTCCAAGGGTGCGGCCGACCCCCCCCCCCCCCCCCCCCCCCCCCCCCCTCCAAACCAGCCGACCAGGCTCCCGGGGGAGGGGTTTTGGGGAGGGGGAAGCATCTCACACGCCGTGACCCCAAGGGGTCGGCGGATTCTGATGACGATGCTGCTGATGATGCTGATGATGATGAGATGATGATGATGATGATGATGATGATGATGATGATGATGATGATGATGATGATGATGATGATGATGATGATGATGATGATGATGATGATGATGATGCTGATGATGATGATGATGATGATGATGCTGATGATGATGATGATGATGATGACGCTGCTGCTGATTATGATGATGCTGATGATGATAATGATGATGCTGGTGCTGGGTCTGATGATGATGACGCTGATGATGATGACGCTGATGCTTATGCTGATGCTGATGCTGCTGCTGCTGATGCTGATGCTGCTGCTGCTGATGATGGTGATGCTGGTGATGATGATTATGATGATGATGATGATGATGATGATGATGATAATGATGATGACGCTGCTGCTGCTGATGATGATGCTGATGATGATAATGATGATGCTGGTGCTGGGTCTGATGATGATGACGCTGATGATGATGATGATGATGACGCTGATGCTTATGCTGATGCTGATGCTGCTGCTGCTGATGCTGATGCTGCTGCTGCTGATGATGGTGATGCTGGATGATGATGATGATGATGATGATGATGATGATGATGATGATGATGATGATGATGATTACGATGATGATGATGATGATGATGATGATGATGATGATGATGATGATGATGATGATGATGATGATGATGATGATGATGATGATGATGATGATGCTCGTGCTGATGATGCTGATGCTGTTGCTGCTGATGCTGATGCTGTTGCTGATGATGGTGCTGCTGATGCTGATGCTGATGTTGATGTTGATGTTGATGCTGGTGCTGATGCTGATGTTGAGGAGGAGCAGGAGGAGCAGGAGGAGGAGGACCATGAACAGAAGGAGGGGGAGAGGGAGGTTGAGGTGGAGGAGCGAGAGCAGGTGGAGGAGGAGGATCCACATTTTGAAAACGGTCTACCTTCCATCCTTTAAGGTGTTGCAGACTTTTGAGGCGAATGCTCTAGACGCTACGGCGAGACCCACATTTTGAAGATGACCCGCCCCCCCATTCGTAACGCTGTTACTGACTTTTGAGCCGAATGCGAATGTGCGCGGCGCTAAGGCGAGAGTCATATTTAGAAAAGGACTCGCCCTCCATCCGTGAGGCTGTTGCAAACTTGTGAGACGAATGTGCGCGGCGCTGCGGCCAGTTCTCAATTTTGAGAACCACCCGTCCCCCATCAGTGAATCTGATGCTGTTGTCAAGCTTCGGAATGGTAGTTGGTGAGGAAATCTCACGCAACACGCCCGGCCCGCCCTACCGACACGTCTGGGGGTGCGGCAGGGAGGAGTTCTTCAAGTCGCTTCGCGTAACCCCACCAGGCCATCCAGCAACGATGCCCGGGCGAGTTGCCTTGATCAGGGATGCGGAGGAGCATGCATTGGAATGGCGGGCAAGTGAAGCCGTCATACCCCAAGAGGGAGAGTATAGAGAAGGATGGAGAAGGAGGAGGGAGGAGGGAGACCATTGTAATCCCCAGAGTCTTCAACGATATTGTAGCAACCCCTCCCTCCAAGCTCCCTCTTCATAGGCCCCTGCAAGGCTTCATTTTCACTGAGGGAAGTGCTCCGTAGACAACAGTTTGAACATGTTGTGCCAGGACGCCATTCCTGGGACTTCAACGCCGCGAATCACCATTACTGTTGCGTCTTGACGATCCTGACTCGTGCCCGAACGCCTTTCCTGGGACTTCAGCACCTCGAATCAACGTAACTGTT